CCCCGTGAATAACACTTTAAGGTCATTTAAGGAACTGCTAACCCTAAGATGTTCTAGATTGTACTTAAAAAGTGATTTTTTTAACTTCTTGGCCCCTAAGAGTTTCTAGTGTCCTATTTCTTCTGACAGTTTTACCCTTGAATGAAACATAAATGTCATGAGAATAACAGAAATGATCCCCAACTAAAGAGGCTCTAGACTGTTAAACAAATTATCCCTGTCAGCACCCTAGGAAAATGAAAATAAAGCAGTATGGTTAATAAGCATACTGATGTTTAAGTGTAAAAGGGTAATGCATCTACTCCTGAAAAATACCAGAGTGGCCATGATCTGTGAGACTGACAACACAGTGATGTGTATTTTTAAAATGATGAATCATAAATGCATGGTCGTAATTTAATATTCTTACTGTTCTCAATTTCTTTTGTTGACAGAGGTTGATGGCATGCCACCTTGGACAGCACAGAAGTCTTCTACCTTAATTCCACAGTACTCTTTAGCAGTAATGCACTCCAACCTCTGGCCAGGAGCACATGCATTTGCTCTTGAGAGGTTTGTATTCATGGAATAACTGATTCCTTCTGTAACTTCATTAATGGTTGGATATTTATAGGATGCATCTATGCCAGGTTTTTTAAGCCATCCCCTCTCCACACCAATCTTTAACCTACCTGTACTACTGCATAGATCAACCCTTTTGCTCCTGATAGTGACTACCATCTAATTTCTCCTTACAGTATCACCCCTCAGTTACACATTAAGGTCAAGAGAATAAAGGAAATGATCACCAACTAAAGAAGCTCTTGGTTGTTTAACAAATTCCCCTCATCAGCACCCTAGGAAAGTATAGGGAACAGTATAGAGAGTTGGGGTGTTGAGGGTCAGGCAGTGAAGACATAAAGCTTTGATAATAATGCATGCAGAAGGTTGGCAAGTCTGTCAGTGAAAAGGGCACTTGGAGAGCATGGTCACCCTTATTAAGCCGTTTTAGACAACCAGTTCCAAAACCAGACATTGCATTCCGATTCAATATCTTCAAGTGGAAGAGAAAAGAGAGCTACCAGTTTTATTACCATTGTCACTTTTCTAAGAGAGAGAGAGAGTACATGAAATTGAATTGGATAACAATATCATTGAATACTGCACTTTGATTTGCAATAATGCAGTGTTATGACATTTTCATACAACAACCGATTAAGTCCAGAAATATATTTTGATAAAATTTCAATCTTCCTGTCCATCCTAGAAAATTTGAGAACCTCTATGTTGGTTGGGGCCAGAAATTCAGTGCAGAAAACTACAGCCCACCACCCCCTCCAGCACCTCAAGAGGAATTCCCCAGTGGACCAGAAATCACTGAGGCTGAAGACCCATCTGTGGAGGAAGAGAAGGCCCTGAAGGCTGCTCAACAGGAAGCAATGGAGGCTGCTGAGATGGAGGATGAGGAAGATGATGATGACGAAGATGACTAGTTTCTGTTTTGGTGTTCAATTAATTTCAGTGAAATTGTGAATCACATTGTTTGCTTTTTTGAATGTATATAACAACCAACATTTAAAATTATGATGTAAACAAACTTGAAAAGAATTAGTATCTTGTGTCAACATACACATTCTTATTTTGTTGCTTCCTTTATAAGCAAGTTATGTCTCTTACGTAGGTCCAGAAAACAGAAAAACATGTACATATTATTGAAAAGTTTTGCTTTTCCAAACTGTTACTGCTGTTGAGTTTATTGTGTCATACATCATAAAGCTTTCTTATTAAAATGTGAATTGAGTCATAACAAAAGCGGATTGAACTGTTTCACGAACCATTTTAATTACTCATAAACAAACTACAAGGCTGTTAGTAAAACTTAATGACAAGTGTTTTAAAGAGGTGATCTAATGCATTGTACATTTCACTTGTAAAATACACAACTTTAACAAACGTCCATATAGAAAAAAAGTTATGTATTTAATAACTGGTGATTACCACTGCATTGCCTGCTGTTTCAGTGCTTTGTATTGACCCTGGTTGTTAGAAGGCTGGATAACACTATCCACTGGATAAATATTGCTATCCAGCAGATAGCATATCTATGTTTTGTTGGCACTTATGTGCTGGACAGCAATTTGTCCAGTGGATAACACTATCTAGCCTTTGAACAACTAAGAACTGGTTGTTAAAATGAACAAAATTGAAGACAGCGACTAAAAACAATCACAAATCTTGCTAGGGAAAAGCATACATGAAACCCTCAAGGAAAACTGCTAATTAAATCAGTCTTGTCAACATACAAGGCCAGTAACTTGATAACACTGTGGTTGCTTTTGTCATGTTTACAAAGCAGGTGTAAAGGTTTAAAAAAATTAAAAAGGAAAAAGGTTTACTTTTGCTGATGTTTTTGTGTTGTGTTAAACTACAGTTAAGATAAGAGGGCCTATTCACAGGATGAAATCAGGTGTCCATCACTTAAGCTATGTACTATTCCTGTCACTGGCTATGTCCTTGTTTCACAGTGTCTTCCCAGGAAGTTTAAATGAGATCAGCCACTGAAATGAAAAAAAGAATTGGTGTGAAAAGGAATAGATGAGGAAGCAGACAAGTGATGAGAATACAGAAAATAAGTAAATTCAAGGATTATTGATTGATCCAATACTAATTTCTCCAGAGTACCATCATAAGAATTGTATGGCAGATAATAAGGAGAATTACTGATATGATACTAGGAGCAGTTGTGTTAACCTGTGCAAGTCTATTAATCAATGGAGATGACTGAAAATGAGCAAGCAAAACATGGCCATGGTGTTATCATATGGAACATTCTCCACAGGCAACTGACATTTTCAACAGAACAACTACAACAGACTACCAAGGTAGCAGCAGTGAGGGTGGTTCCAAAAAAAGGACTGTTGCTAGTTATTGTGAGTAAAGATTAAGTCAAAGCCATAAACACCATTAATTCTCATGACTTTCTTAACACCAGCAATCATACAAGACTAGTGATTACTACTACTTGGTCAAAAGCCTTTTACTGCAAGCCAATATCAAAGACCTACCATTCATGGGCATTTCATCGATCTGAGTACTGTAGTACTGTTCAATGTCACGCAAAATTCTGATGTCATCCGACTTCACAAAGTTAATGGCAACACCTTTGCGACCAAATCGACCAGAGCGACCAATCCTGAAAGAGGAGAGAAGTTACATGTGTATCCAACTTTGAGTGAAAGTCTGATGGAAAGTAAATTTAAGTAAACACTTTGACTGCTAAGAGTGACCAGCATCTCATTTCTCCCCTACCATACCACCCATGAATCACAAACTAAGGTCAAGAGAAGGGGAAGGAATCCCCAACTTAAGAAGCTCTTGATTATCAGAAAAATGCAAAGAGAACAGAATGGAGAGTTCAAATACTGATTTCCTGATGCAAAGGTTTGTGAAGAACTCCATCGCTTACCTGTGAATGTACAATTCACGATTGTTTGGCAGGTCGTAGTTGATAACCAGAGACACTTGCTGCACATCTATGCCTCGAGCCCACACATCTGTTGAGATCAGCACTCGACTGCATGAAATAAGCAAAGAGAAGATGTTAGAGTCAAGCACTTCACATCATGAAGAAAAAACATCACGTTTGAGAGAGCAACTCATATTTCTCTTTACCTCTGTCCAGATCTAAATTCTTTCATGATGGCATCTCTTTCTTTTTGTGGCATATCACCATGCATAGCTGAAACAGTGAAGTTTGCCTCTCGCATTTTCTCCACAAGCCAGTCCACCTGATAAGGAAAGAAAATGATTTCCTCAGAATTTCACAAATAAATATAACTTGGTTTGCAAACCAAAAGAAAAATTGCATACAAATCTTTGGGGATACAGCTGTGAACTAACCTTTCTTTTTGTGTTGCAGAAAATGACAGCTTGTGTGATGGTAAGGGTGTCATACAAATCACAGAGGGTGTCAAACTTCCATTCTTCACGTTCCACAGCCACAAAGAATTGTTTGATGCCTTCCAATGTCAACTCATCACTATGACAAACAAACAAACAATAGGACATCACTATGGAAAAGTTCTTTTTGAAGTGTTTGCAACCTTTCCAAGCAAGAACAACTATTTTTTCTAGGCAAAAAAAAGTGTCACTCACCGCTTGACAAGAATCCTGATTGGGTCAGTCATGAACTTTTGCGTCATCTCCAAGATTTCATGTGGAAGAGTTGCACTTAACAGAACAACCTGAACACGTTTGAAAATGATAAGAATTGTTACATTAGACACCATAAAATCTACATTTACAGCAGACTACAAACCTCTATGGGTCACATGACTAGACATCAGCCCCACATTTGCAGGAATTTCTCAATGTTTTCAAATGCAAGAGGTAGGTTTTCATGTAAGTCATTTGCCTCAGCTTTTATTTGCATGAACATTTTTTCACCCTATGTATACCTGTCACTGGTATACAAAAACAACCCTTTTTTCAATTTGTGTGAATTTCAACATTAACAATACACAGAGGAGGTATACCACAAAGGACAAACAGCAACCCTTAAACCACTAGTCCTGGGTAAAGTGGCATGAATAACCTTCCATGAATTTATAACCTACATAAAGCTTTCTCTCAGAGACAGCTGACAATATAATAGCTGGAAGACTTGTTAAGGGACACATTCAAAACTTACCTGAGTGGCTGGGGGAAGATATCTGTAAACATCATAGATCTGCTCCTTAAAACCTAAATGAAACAGACAAAAATAAATAATAAAACAGTTACATAAGGTGAATGTATCAAGTCACAGTTTATGGACAGTAACTGAACAATCACTTCTCAGTTCCTTACCTTTATTCAGCATTTCATCTGCTTCATCCAGCACCAACATTTTTATAGATCGGGTTCTCAAGCTTCTTCTTCTTATCATGTCTTATGATCACAACAAAGGAGTAAATTACAAAAAAATGCACTACAAATCTTCATACCAAAGCAAAGTCAAGCCAATACATGCATCAAAAGTCCAACACTGCCTAGGCAGACTTATAATAATCTTGTCCCATACCCACTACAAATGTTTCACATCTCTCTTTAGCAAGTTACAAGTACCCTGGTACATGTACTGGTGAACATGAAGGTAACTTAGCCTTTCGTGTGATGGGAACAATTGAAAAAGCGCACATGAATAAATATTTATAAAATAAGCAGGATTCCAAAAAGCATTTTGATTGATTCTCACCTATGCTATATTGGGGGACAGATGCAAACAGATGACAAAAACATCAACATTTTTTTGCTTTTTTATTATACAAAACAAACAAATTCCATGCTAATGAGGGTTTGATCGCTATTTCACAATTACATCACAGAAGATGTCAAAATGTGTTAACCCTTTAACTCCCATTAGTGACCAAGACAGA